GAGGACCAGGGCTCGGAGGCTGGAGGGGTGGGGCGAGGGGCAGTGGGGCCTTGGGGCAACTTGTTTGTGCTCCTCCCCCCATAGGTGCCCAGCCCCCTCCCAGAGCAGGGGGCTGATGCGGAAGGACCCCGGGGTCCTGGGGGGCGCTCCAGCAAGAGGAAGCTCCCTGCCTTCACTCCCAAGGTAAGCAGGGCACCCGGAGCTCTACCCCCGTGGCGCGAGCCACCGGGTTGTGGCCAGGGCAGCTCTGGGAGGCCAGGTAGCCCCAGGGATGGAGTGGGGGAGGGCTATCCTGTAGCTGACTCTCTCCTCCTTCCCCTCCATCAGAAGCAGGAGGCAGAGCCCATGGAGCAGCCCCCGTCCCCTGGCCCCATCTACCACCTGGTGCTGGCAGGAGACGCGGGTGCGGGGAAGTCCAGCTTTCTGCTGCGTCTCTGCACAAACGAGTTCAGGGGAGACATCCCCACCACACTAGGTACCGGGGGCCGTGCCAGGCAGGGGCTGCAAAGCGGGGCAGGGCACGGACAGCCCGTGACCATCTCTCCTGCCAGGGGTGGACTTCCACATGAAGCGGCTGCTGGTGGACGGGGAGCGCACCACGCTGCAGATCTGGGACACGGCCGGCCAGGAGAGGTGAGCGTGCGCGGGGCACCGCAGCATCACCATGAGCACGTGTCGGCTGGGCAGCGGGTCTGGACAGGGCTGCAGGGGAGGAGGCACTGCCTGGTCCCAGCGGCTGTGTTTGCCCCCCAGGTTCCGCAGCATCGCCACCTCCTACTTCCGCAAGGCCCACGGCGTGCTGCTCGTGTACGACGTCACCTCCGAGAGCAGCTTCCTCAATGTCCGCCAGTGGATCGACGACATCCAGGTACCGGGGGACCGGGTGGGGCCATCCTTGAGCCCCCGCCCAGGCTCTGGCGGCGTGGCACGAGGCCTCAGGGCACTGACAGTGCCGTATTCCCACAGCAGGCCACGGAGAGGCCCGTCCCGCTCATGCTGCTGGGGAACAAGGTCGACCTGCGCGCAGAGCTGCCGGAGACGGCAGGGGTGCACCCAGTGCATGGAGAGCGGCTGGCCCTGGTGCGTGCGTGGCCGGAGGCTGGGCTGGGCCTGCCCACTCGTGGCCATCTGTAATGTGTGCCCCTCCCACCCCACAGGCCTACAACGCCCTCTTCTGTGAGACCAGTGCCAAGGACGGCACCAACGTGGTGGAGGCCGTGCTGCACCTGGCCAGGTGAGAGCCTGCTGCTGCTGGAGGGCTGGTGGGGGCTGCGGCACCATCCCCAGCCTGCCCGTATCGCGGGCAGGGATCGCCTGGGCAGCGGACGGTGCAGTTGCTGGCCTTGGCCATGCTAAGATCCATGTCCGTTGGCTCTGCAGGGAGGTGAAGAGGATGGTGGACCCCAGCGAAGGGTGTGGAGCCGTGGCAGACCTGCGTGTCCCAGACACTGGAGCTGCTCCGTTCAGCTGCTGCCGGACCTAGGGCAGGACAGCGAGGCCTGGCCTGGCAGCTGGCTGCAGCACCCCCCCTCAGAGCCCCAGGAGGGGGTGGCCCTGGCCCAGGCAGAGCGGAGCTCCCTTCCTTGTCTGCAGGCGGAGGGAGAGGAGCCGACTGCTGGAGGCCGGCTCAGGGGGCCAGGGCTGGTCTTGAAAATAAAGGTTTATAGCGGCTGCCTGTTCTGTGCTCTGTGCAGGTGGGGGCTGCCCCCACCCAGCCTCCAGGACCCTGCCCCTGCCTGTGTCCTTCCCACTGCCGGCACGGCCCAAGAGCGCAGCAGGATCCAGCGCGCTGGGGCCAAGCTGCTGCTGCTCCGGCCCCATCTCCCTGCACGGGGCCCTGGAATCTGTGCGCGGGGCTACTGCCACGGTTCCTTCGCTGCCGATTCCTGCGCCACAGGCTGGCTCTGCCCTGTGCTCCCTCGCAGCCAACTGCTGCCCCCAGGATCATGCCCTTAGCCCTCAGGTCCCTGCAGGACTGTCCTTTCGTGCCCCAGTCCCGGATGCTCCTGGGCATTGCAGCTGCAGGCAAGGCCCAGCTCCTCTCCTCTCTGCCAGCTCCAAGGCAGGATCCAGCCATGGGCTTGAGCCAGCATGACTATAGCTGAGCTCCCAGCGCCCAGACCCTCCTTCCCTGGTCACAAGTGGGGAAGAGCACCTGCTGCACGCAGCGCCCCTGCCCGGCCCAGCCCCATCGTGCCTGTGCTCACCGCACGGCACGGCCCCTACCCGCCTCTGCCACCGCACGGGCAGCACGCCGGGGCCCTGGGCACGGATGCCCACCCGTGACCTCGTCCTTCCAGCTCCGCAGGGCTGGGCCTGACGGTCGATGCTGCCCTACAGGGCGCCCTGTCTCCCGCAATTTTTGTGGTAACTTTCGGGAGCCCAGCCACCCAAGTGTGAGTGGCGGCCCCTGAAGATTTTTTGGTGTGAGCGTCATCTGTCCGGTCACCAGCCGGACGCCAGAGCCGCCATCGGCCACCCGCCCAGGGTGGCCCTAAGATCCAGATGGAGAACTCAGACTTCCAATAGTCCCACACGGCGCCCTGGGCCCAGCTCTTGTCCCACAAGGAGCCCTAGCGCCGTGGGGCACGGGCCGGCCTTGCTCTGCTCCGTGACCAGGCACCGCTGTGGGGCTCGGGGAGGAGCAGGGCAGTCCAGCACCCCGGGGCCGCTCCTAAGGCCGGGCTGCCTGGAGCTTCAGGGCAGGGCCAAGGCC